GTGACCGGCTTGACGCAGTTTGTGAAAGGACAGATTATCGAACTGTGCACAAAGAAATCGGGAACAAGGACTGATACGTACGTATTGTTACGTGTCATTAATTTTGAAGGCTTATAACTGCAAGTCAAAACTTAGCCATTTCAAAAATAGCTCAGAATTAGAGGATACTAGCAGATTTCCCGGTTTGCTTATAGAGGCAGCCAAATATCTTAATAACCGCAAAAGGAGAGAAGGGATGCGCGTAGCGCAGGGCGTCTTGAAGCTTTAAGAGTCCTTCATCTATCAAAGCCAGTTTTTTTGAAAAATGGTGATAGCGGTTACTCTAGTTGCTGAAGTGCCTGACAATTTTGGCTTTTTTGAAAGTTATTTGAATCGAAATATTAAGAGTAAAAAATGATAAAATAAAATAAGCTCTCCAGCTCTTTAGGCTACCAACCGAACTCTGATACTTTAGAACAACAATACTTTGCTCCTAGACGTACGCTTTTGGCAGGTGATAGACCTGCACAACTTTCAGAGCCTGCAGTTTTACAACTTGCGGACTAGTCTGTGTCACACTCTTCGAAATGGTCTATAGCAATATCCAATCAGGCCCCAACACGAAGGTAGCAAATGGACATCAGTGGAATGATTTCGCATTTGCCACTATCGGTTTTTACGATTTCCCACTTGATCCCGCCAGCTGCCTAGGTTGTTCCGTTGGATCGCGCTTCCTTGAATTACCGGCGTCGTTATTATTCCGATTCTAACAAGGAGGAGAGGACAAGTTTTGGAACCAAAATGTTACTATATACTAAACATTAGATGTAGAGCAAATTTTGTAAAATTTTTGAAAAATTCATGTGAAATGAAAGTTTTGCCTACCTCAGATAGGCATCAGGCGGGCAATTGCCCATTCAATTTGGGAGTAAGTTTTATTTCCTAGTCCAACTGTGCGTTTACACACCAAATCTCGTGCCATATCGTCATCTGTGCATTGCAAGCGAGCCATTTGATTATATTGGGTAGTGGGAAATCTTCAGAGAAAAGCTTGCGCAACCTTCGTTCACGTAAATTCTCACAATACTGCACTATGCTCACTATCTCCTTTAAAAACGGTGATCCTCTCAATCAACGTGATAACTTAAGTTTGAACTATATTATGAGGCACTAAGTTTCTTTTAACACGTTGACGACCATGGTGTGTCAAGGCTTGACACATCATGACTCCCATTTAAAAGGCTACTAATTTGTTTCAAATCAACTCTGGGAATTTTCTTTTATGCTGAATTTGGATATAACCTCTACTGTTTTTGCCAGCGTTCCAACGCTACTATAGATGTACTGTAAATGGAATCGTGCGTGATTTTATCTGAAAAATGTTGGCTGTTCCGAGAAAGGCTGTGGTCGTCAATGTGTTAAAGGCAGTGTCCGGGCAAAAATTCGATTTTGAGATTTTGTGCTTACCTGGGCCTACTCGCTATGCTGAATCCGAAAATGCACATTGAAGAGCGCGAAAACGGCGAAAACGGCTCTAACACAGGAGCGAAATCAATAGGTGGGCGGGGTCCTTCCCACTGTGAATTCACGCTCCCAGCTTCCGGAGCAATCTTCTCGCTTCCGCTTTTAAGTCAATCATTTGCGCTTGGATGGTAGCGATGTTAGGAAAAAGTGCAACAACGGCGGAGTCGAGAAGACCGCTCCGGAAGCTGGAAACGTGAATTCTGGGGAGGATCCCGCCCACTTGCTCTTTCCCTCCTGCACTAGAACCTTTTTTTTGCCATTTTCACGCTTTCCAGTGCGGATTTTTGGATTCAGCATGGCGAATAGGCCCGTGTAAGCACAAAATCTTAAAGTCGAGTTTTTGCTCGGAAACTGCCTTTAAAAGCGGCATCCATGATATACCCAATCACTTGAACGGTGCCGATCAACGATATTTTGGTTATGTGCCAGTCATTAACCAAAATATAGTTGGCGAAATTTTTTGCAAAATTCAGCCAGTAATGCATGTTCCGTTGTTGCAACCTTCTGCCACCATGCAGTCGGATTTTCAGTTCCGTTTTTTCCAGGACTCAACAGTTTGGTCCAAAAAAGTCGTCTCACCAGCGCTTGAGATGATCTCCAATATCAAAGCAGACGCATCTTATGATTTGTGATAGATTGAAACAGATGATATTATGCTAGAGCGAGATTTCAGGAGTATATTGGATACTAATATACTTCCCAGCCTAGTTTTCAAGACAGCTGTGAAGAGGGTTGCTGTAGGGGGCTAAGTTTTGTCGCGCAGAAATGCTCACTGGACCTATTTATTAGGCCTTTTTTGCATTAGAGATTCGTTTAGACGGTGCAGCCGGGTTGCGTATGGCATAGGCGACCGTCTTGTCCTTGCTTGGTGATTTCTTGTGCGGAACCTCCTGCCCATTTTGCAGAAAGTCTTGTTCAGAAACCACCTTGTAAAATCTTGATAGGCCACTGCTTTCTTGTCTCACATTGACGAGAAGATGCCATTTTCCATGATTGAAAAAAATGTGCGCAAAATGCTTCTTTGTCGAAAATGTTCATTCTAAAGGGTAAGGTCAGCTTTTCTCATTAATGCATGCGTCTTGAAAAAATCATCAAATCAACCGCTCTTCAAAAAGAAGAAATTGAGAATGAAAACTCTATCAACTCATGGAACGATCTAATAGAAAAGCAAATAAAAGCAAATAGGCTGACATTTAGAAGCGGTACTTCTCAAAAAAGTTGATATTATCACACTCTAACAACTATAATTTTTATACGTGAAGAACTTTATTGAATTGTTTTGAAATCAACCAAGTACAAACCTTCTTTTTGGAATTTTTCAAAGCCCATAGGCCCCTTCCTCCAGCACAACGTGGCTAATGCGGGCCTTAGCTAAACGCAAAAAGTTCTTATGAGCGGGTAATATCAGTTTAAATGAGCAGGCTAAGGGTTTACTACGGGTCAATTCTCAATTTTTTTGCACTTGCTAAAGGAAAATGGTTTCATTCTACTTGCCGGAAACGGACATCGAGCGACCAAAAATCTTCATTTCCAAGGTGGAGAATCTGAGATCCGATCTGGCCAGCCACCCTCACGTTTCTTGATTAGCGACGACGTGTTCCTCGTGCCGCGGCTCGCGCGATGCAAGCCACTCCTCGATTCAGGAGCCGGGAGCACTGCAAGCCGCTGGATCGGGCGCGCTATTGCTTTCGTGCCCGGACCTCTCCTTGCTTGGGCGCGTTGCCAAGTCGAGGGCTATATAAGGCCGCGCAGCGCGCGCCATATGCCTCATTGTTTCGGTGACCTCGTTTTCAAATTCGTTTGATTTCTCACGTACTCTTATTGATCGTGCTTGGCAGCTACCCCAGCAAGCTCCCGTGGATGAAGTTCTTGCGAGCAGAGTAATTGTTAGAGTTTTTGGATTGTACCGCGCTTACGCGCGAGGAAAGTCTGGAGCTTGGATTCAAGTTGTACCGGGAGTGGAGAGGGCTCGTACCTGTCCTACGCGGAGGCGAGTAAGCGGTCGACCCTCGGGATTCCCTGACATCGTATTCAGATTTAACTTGGTGATGATCGGCGGCTTGGGACGAGGCCGACTCGTCCCGTATTTCTTCTTCTTTCGTAGTTTAGGTTTTCGTAGTATAGTTCCTTTGTAGAGTAGTGTTTGTTATGTAGATAAATTTAAGTAATCTATTCGCGCCTTTGTTGTTCTGGTTTGTCGCCATCCAGCGGGGTATTTGTCGGACGCGCCGGAGTGGCCAACCGGCGCTAGAGTGTGCAGGAGTAGGAGCAGGATTGTGTTGGCAGTCGAGCGAGCAAGAGGGTGCTGAGCCCACCGAGCCGCAACATGGTGCATCGACGCCGAGCGCATGGACGATGGAGGATTCCGCCCGCGTATGGAATTGGATTGGACGCGCAGATCGAGGACGAGCTGGACAACATCTGGACGCCGTTATGGGAACGCGCCATCCCATCTTCCATGCGTGCGTAACGGACCTGAGTCTACCACGCTTAGCACAATAAGAAGATCAGCAACAAGGAGACTAAGGACGGCAGTACCAGGACGACAGAAATGGTAGCCAAGAGCATGGAGATCGAACGTGGAGTGGATAGAAGGCAAGATGGTGGCAGCTCTTGCCAACTCGAAGCCCCAGTCAACAGCGTTCACTTCATGCAGTGATTGGTGCTTGCACGGGTTTTTGAGGAGCTACCCAGGTGACGGGCCGGTGTCATCCCCGGCGGGCTCGACCACTGGAACCCTAGTGGTTATGTGCGCACACCTGTCGAGTCGTGGCCCGAAGCTGGTCGACGCCTTAAGATCTCGAACAGTTTCGGTGAGCAGTGGGAGCGCTATGGCACCGTCCTAAGTAACATCTAGGAGCCTGGACCACGCCGGGGGAAATCGCTCTTGGGCGAGAGCATATGGGCACCCCCGGAGGGAGTACTAGAGGTTTTCATTCCTTGGCATTTCCACCTTCCCCATCCTTTTTTCTTTGTAATCATCCCCCACATTTCATAGGGTACCTTCAAAAGAGGGGGAGTTTTGATGGCCAAGAGTTGGAGTCCAAGCGTGGGGCTGGTATACGATGCATGGATCGTTCCTGTCAGTCTTTACGGTGGGCCTGGCCACCAGAAAACTATGCCCATAACCTCTAGTACAGGCGGCGAGGAGTCGTGCTCGACGGCAATGAAAGGTATGGCTCTCAAAGGGTGGTTCAGGAAGCCCACGGGTTTTTCCCCTCCTATTCGCCGATAGGAGCCCTGGTTAGCTACCGATTGGCTTCGGACAAGTCATCATTTCTCCGCCTTGTTACTTGCGCATCTACCATCAGCGCCTCGGCCTTAGTAACATCCAGTCGTACTTGTTGCTTGCGCCTGCGAGTAGTCGCAGTTGTGGATTACCCCGTTGGTTCTGGTTAGGTTAGGTTATTCATCTCATATGCTATCCACGTCATATTTACCATTTTGTTACTGTTTTGTTGTTTTTGATTGTTCTTCTTTCTTTTTTGTTCCAGGTAATGTCGCTACTCGGTAGCTATAAAGCCCGCATCACCAAGGCCGCCAACGCACTTCGCAAGGAGATCACCGAAGTCAACGAGGCCTTGAACCGTTGGACCCTACCACGGAGGCAGGTAAGGATCCTCAGTTCATTCTTAGTCGTAAGAGTTTGTTGTTTTTGAAAGTTTCTCTTCTTGATCGTGCTGCCGCGCATTTGCGTGCCCAGAGTGAGAAGGCCGAAGAGTTTGCCCGTCAACATCCTGACGAGCAGGGCGAATTCCCCTACCTCCAACAGATTCAGAGCCACTGGGACGCTAGTGAACTGGATCAACTTTTGGAGGAGGCCGATATTCTCCGTCTACGTCTCGATGTTGTGATCAAACTCTTGCCGAGCTCAGAGGCCTTGTATTCTTTTCATGCTCCGACTGTTCCTCCCTCTTTTTCATCTGTTACTTTTTCACCGCACCCGGCCCAAGACCCTAGTTCGACCCATCAGCAGCCCGCGCAGGATGTGAGAGCGGAAATCCGGAGCCACTCTTCATCCCACGATCAGGATCGTCCATCAGAACCTGTCGCTGCCGCGCCAGCTGATACCTTACTACCAGCACGCGCATCTAGCGCCTCCCAAGGATTCGGCATCCCCTCAGACGACCCCTCTTAAAACCCCCCAACTTGTGCTAATCCCCCTGCAACATCTGGTCCCCAGCCGAATCCTCTTTTGCCATTGTCCTCATCCCCCAATGTCAATTTGCAGTCTTTCCTGGAACAGTCGCTGAAGTTACCAGCCTTTGAGATCCCCACCTTTCATGGCGAGATCGACAGCTTCTTCGAGTTTTGGGATCTTTTTTCAACGGCCGTGCACAATAACACCAATGTGCCAGTGCCAATCAAGTTTATGTACTTGAAGTCCCACGTGCGAGGACCTGCTGCGAACATCATCGCCGGCTTTCAATCTACGGCAGAGAATTATGATCAGGCAGTACGAATCCTGACGAATACTTATGGTCGACCGGAGATCCTCCGCAATAAGCTCTGGGACAAGCTGCTGCATCTCCCATCAGCTTCGGAGTCGCCGTTGTCACAACGCGCGACACTGTGTGCTATCAGAGCCACATGGACCCAGCTGCAACGTCTGAAAAAGGACTCCAGTGCGATCGGCACGATTAAGATTATTTGTGCGAAATTCCCTCGGCGTACACGCGAGAGAATCGGTGAATTCAAGAATAAGGGAGACCCGATGTGGACAGTCGATGACTTGCTCAACACGCTGGATACCATCATTGATCGACTCGAAAACGTAGAAGATGCGGACCCAGCGGATTCTCACTTTCACAACACTCAGTCTGCGATTCACCATTCTCCTTCACCACCTAGACATCAAGGCGCGAGCCGAACAAGTGAAGCGTTCACGCGCTATCGTTCACCATCGTATTCTAGATGTTCGTCTGTGTCGCGCACTCCGTCTCCCCGCGGTAGACAGGATAGATCGTCGACACCATACTATTCTAGGCGTACGTTCAATACTCCTGCTCAGACAATCGCTGGGGGCAGGCGGGCACCGGAAAAATAGATTGCTGATTTCTCGCACCTCGCTCGCGGATTTTTTGCAAAGCAATCAGAACTTTTCGGAAGACCGCCTGCTGAGTCAGCGGATTTTTGAGAGACCGCCTGCTGAATTTTTTTCGCTCTTATCTTTTGCAGATATATTGCTGAATCTCTGAGGAATCGAGAACTCAGCAAGCGGTCTTCCGAAAAGTCCTGATTGCTTTCCAAAAAATCCGCAAGCGTGGTGCGAGAGATCAGCAATCTATTTTTCCGGTGCCCGCCTGCCCCCGGCGATTGTCTGAGTGGTAGATCGCGATACGAAAGGTTCCTTGAGTCGCAGTGTTTTTTTGTCACGATTTTGGACATTTGTCAGATCGTTGTAGAACCGTAGCCACTGTCAGACAACGTAGAGTGTTTGTCACTCGTAATAGGCTCTGCTGGCTTTGTCTACACCCGAATCATACCTACCTCGATTGTGACGCTCCATTCTGTTCATACTGTGGCAACATACATCATAAGGCACTCTGTCTCGAACTTTCTTCTTTGCCTCGATCACCATCCCCGCAGAGCAGGAAGAACTTCTATCAAGATTCGTACCGATCTCGATCGCCTAGACGTGTGCAATTTGGTCAGGAAGTTGACGGATCCCCATCTCGTACGGATACTCCTTATCCACGTGCATCTTCGCGCGAGTATCAGTCGAGATCACCATCATCATCGAAACGATAGCATTCTGTTCCATCATCTAGACGTACTTCACCAGCGCGCAGATCATGTAGTCCTACTAAGGCAGTAAGTAATAGTTGCATCTTTAACGCCTCTTACGACACCATGGACGAACGGATCGACGCACTAATCGACTCTTCAAAAGCCGTAGGCGCGCATTCGCAGCCATCGTGTATGTCAATCCGTCAAGAGAAGTCAACTTCTCGAAAACCCCGTCTTATGGTAGTCCAAGCTACAACTACGAACTTAGGACCAACATGAGTGAACGGCTTACTGTGTTTTTAGACAGCGGTTCACAATATAGTTTCATCCGTACTGCTATAGCTGAACGTCTAGGCCTGTCGTTTCGGGATACTAGGACGGTTACGACTCTGACGCTTGCAGGACATCACCTTACAGAGGAATCGTCAGAAGTCTCACTTACACTCTGGGATCAGCACAGTCTTCAGATACAACTCGAACTATGGACGCGCGAGACGATTTTGACGCTACCACGGATGAATAGCAGTAACGACAATACCATCGTCGATTCTCGAAATAGAGTGGAAGTTGATGTGCTTGTCGGGTTCGATAACTATTGGCATGTTGTGGACTTGCGCAGGAGCGAAGAGCTTCCATCAGGACTCATCCTGTCGCACACTAGATTTGGACCAGTTATGTCTGGTTTACAACGCCTAGTTGTTCCCAGTAGTCTTGTAGCCGTCATCGAACACTCGAATGAAAACACCCAAGGAAGTGAGCGACACATATTTAGCGCTTGTGGTCCTGATATACTTAGATCGAGCGGATATACGCGCCATCGTCTTGCATATCAGGACATACGTTTCACTTTCAGCAAAGGTACTTTACCCGATGGCAACGTAACATCAGCCAAGATCCAGACAGCCAACGAAACGGCAACGGAACGTTCAGCTGAACATCTGGTACCCTCGGAGATAGTGTCAGATGACAAGGTCAATACGCAGCGAGCCTACGAGCAGGATCCTGCAGAGGATACTCCTTGTCAAACATCCAGAGTGTGAACGCAATGGTAAAGTAGGTACATGTACTCTATTGATCTGTCTTTCTTCTTTTTTATCATTGTGTTTTGTGTTTTTGTGTGTTTGTTTTCATTTGTGTTTTTCCTTTTTATTTCCCTTGTACTCCTCCATCTACTGATGAGCGCTATAGGCGCGCTATGATGATTTTTTCGCCTAATTCCATCTTTAGCCGGCTTTTGGGTCCCGACGCGAAATCTTCATCAGACACACGCTATCGTTGAGTCAGCCACTACATCGCCACTTTCGCGCAGCGGATTCATCGATCGCCTTGTGTTCATCATAGATTTTTATTTCCAACCATTTTTTGCAGTTTTTTTGGTAATTCAATAGGCTTATTTGTTGTATTTTTATATGTGTACCATTTAACCTTACGCGCTGTATCTATCTTTGTATCTTCTCATTTAGGTTTTGCTCACTGTTTCTTGTGCCCATCTGTCAGTATCTCCTTCAATAAAATCAACTGTCAAACTGGAACGAGCGATTACTCGGACTAGAGACTTCAACAAGGGAACAATCCAAGTTAGAAATACGGCAAAATTGCTTGCTTACATCTATTGCGCACCCCCCATTTGTGCTTTTTCCAAAATTAGTGCACATTTTATTAACTCCTAAATTTTCATTACTTTTTTGCTTCTTCCAAATTTCCTAAACCTTCTGTTTTTTTTCAGTCTTTCTTTCTTGCGTTGAGCCCTCTACTTTTATTATATCTGTTCAACCCACTAGCGCAATACCAGCCGCGCTTATACATATTTGTACCGCATTGCCGCTATGGATCACCCTCATTATATTTGCTGTTCGCGTACACCAAACTTAACGCACAACCGTGCAGTTCCTTGCCATTTTCATCTATTTGCAGCGCATAAGTTTACTTTTAACATCAAGTCTGGTCGCGCGCAGCCGCAGCAGCAGTTCGCAAGCACCACGCTCTTAACACTTGAGCGCAAGCGTTTCATCGCGCATGCCTTAGAAACACGCTCGCTTGCAGCCGCGCTAGTCTGCGCAATTACTGCTGTTCTTAACACTCAGACTTTTACGTTTGCGCAGGGGCAAGTAGAACATTATGCGCGAAGTGCAGAGTTGTGTACACGTGCTCCAGCATTGCCAGGCATTTCGGTACCTCGCGATATTGTTAAGGCTTAGATGCTGTATTCTTTACGCGCTTTTAGTTGCTTTTTGACACGCTAAGAAAACAAGCGTCATTAGCCTTTGATTGCGATTATAATACCCACGCAAGTACATCAGTGCGTTATTTAGGTCCAGCCAATCCTAACACCTTCGACCCCTTCGCGTCAGCCTAGTTCCGTCGCGCGGGAGGGCGGACTGAAGTCCTCTCAGCAGTCCGTAGTGGCCGGCATTTTTGACATCTGTTGCAGACGGTCGGATCGAGCGCAATTTTAGGTTGGATGTGCTTCAGATTTGGTTGGACGATTTACCTGTTCCCCAATGTCATCTGGGAGTTGACGTGCCGCGCGCTAAAACATCGCGCCTCCTCGCAGCGCGCGCGAATGATTTGTGGAGAGTGAGCTTGTGTGTGGCAGTAGTGAGTGAACGATGGAAAAAGGTTAGTGCGTTTCCACCCTTTTGATCTGTTTGACATCGTAAATCACTTCTACTTTAGTAATATCTGGTAGAATGGAACGATCATTGGGCAGTCGCGCACATGGTTGGTTGGTATCATTGGTTGGCTATGGATGATGGTACGATGGTCGATGGTTGTTGGTCACACCTGGCTCGCCGTTCACACCTGTACATAGTCATCATAGTTACTCACTTCGTGTATACTCACATCATAGTTAGTCACGTCTAGTCATAGTCTCATTCATCATTTCAGTTAGTTACCTTCATTCAACCACCTTAGTTAGTAGTTAGTCTTCTTCGTAGTTTTAGTTCCTATATTTAATCACGTTCAGCACTTATTTAGCCAATCAGTTAATCACTTTCGTAGGATTTAGTTACCATATTTAGTCACGTTCCTCTCATAAGTAGTCACGTCATGTAGTCGCATTTATCCATTTTTGTTCTGTAGTTGTAGTTGTGTATGTATGTTTTTCCGACGGGACGGGTTTTTTCTTTTAAGCTCTTTCTCATGCGCTCTACCATGCCGCCGATAGAATTTGTCTTTTTCCTGTCTACCTTCCAAAAATTTAGGTGGGATGCATCCCCCTGCCGTCAGTGCTATCACGTAACCAACTTTTCGAACGCTCAAGCCACTGTCTCGGGGGGGGGGAGTGTCGCGGCTCGCGCGATGCAAGCCACTCCTCGATTCAGGAGCCGGGAGCACTGCAAGCCGCTGGATCGGGCGCGCTATTGCTTTCGTGCCCGGACCTCTCCTTGCTTGGGCGCGTTGCCA